CCACAACGGCACAACCTATGTTATCTGCGAACTTATATCGAGTACCTGACACATAACCGTACCTATAGCAAAACTTCTTGGACTCTTCTTGAATATAGGCACAACCTATGTTATCTGCGAACTTATATCGAGTACCTGACACATAACCGTACCTATAGCAAAACTTCTTGGACTCTTCTTGAATATATGCATACGTTTATTTAGGCATATACTCAATTATATTACATATTTTTATTTAAAACACTCCTTATACCAAGGTTTTAAATGTCGGGTTCATGTCGGATGGTTGAAATCCATGTCGGATAGCGAAAATCGGGGATATATCGGGGGATATTGACTAAATATCAAATTACCATATCGGGTAGTGTGCATATGTATAATATCATGTCCTAAATATAATCTAAGCATTTATAAATTCAATATAAGCATACTTTATAAATTCTATAGACTAAACATATAAAAAAGTAAATAATATATGGATTTGGGTTCATAAATTTTTTCTATTGAGTTCATAAGAAACCCTTAAACATGAGAACGGGTCAAACAGATTTGGGTATTTATCACTAAATCCAAATCCGATAACAAAAAACAGATCTTAAAAAAAAGTACCATATCGACTGATTTTTTAAAGCTAAAAAATAGGCCGATATGCCCGATATGACCCTGATATTTCCGATTTGACCGTGAAAACCGACATACGAGTTGAAAACGTCCATGTCGTGTCGGTCAAGCCCTCAAACCGATATGTCGGCCGACATTTAAAACCTTGCCTCATACACTTCGAGGACGTATTTCCTACACTTCACAGCTATTTCTTATACATTGATCTTATGTAAATGAAAAAACAATAATGATTTTATGTAACTTACTTTTAATACATATACATAACATACATATATATAGCCGTGTCCGCGTATTCTATCTTTTACAAATCTGTCATGTCCCGTACCCGTACCCATGCAACTTAGCACAACATATAACATATAGCTACTATATTTAACATTTTATTTAGGATATTTTAAAATTATATTAGTAACTCGCCGCTCCCCCACAGACTAAAGACATGTACCCAAGCCCGACAAACCTCCTGACATCTTCTTTTGGACACTTCTCTTTAATGCTAGGATAATTTGGAGGACTGATCTTTTGTACTATGAGCTTAAACAGGCTTAAGTAAATGGACATGTTTTAGAAGCACTTGACACGTGTTTGAGGAATGTTTAAGAAATGATAGATATGTGTTTGACAGTGTCAGACATGGATAATCTATGAGAAAAAAATGTTGCAAGAGATTTAACAATGTTATTTGACAGTAAAGGTGGGGGGTGGGGGGTGGCACGACATAGAGCTCCGGCAATAAACTCAAACTTACTACCCAGCAAGTTAAGAAAAACTCAATTCCAAAGCTAACTCTTTAAGGAAAAATTAATTCAAAAGCGAATATGTTAAGCAAATTTGATGATATGGAGGCTCTAGTATAATTTTAAAACTAATACTTATATTACATAAATACATTTATATATCAAGACACTATTTCAATAGAATTATCCATTGAGTTAATACTATATAAATATGATTATGTTAATATTATATAATTGTACATCGGTAAATATGCTCTACCATAGAAACTGGTTTCTCCTCTAGACATATGAGGTTTGAATTTGTTGTTCTATTTATTCTCAACTAAATGCCGCTTTTTATGATGATTAGGAAATTAAATTGCTACTTTTTATGCATTTCACTTTCTTTATGATAGCTAGATATGTCCTCCAATCCATTTTAGATTGATGACATGAAATTTTAATTGCTGTGTGAAATCTGTTTCAGTCTGTTTTCTTTCTTTCTTCTTTTGTTGCCTTCAATTCCCAGAAGGGTTGATCTATTGTTAATGGATGAATTGTTGATCATGGCAGCATTGGCGAAAGCTCAGCAATTGTTACTTGATCCCCAGGAAAGAGAGTATGTTCTGAGCCAAGTTAATAATGCCAAAGGTAGGCATATCAATATGAATGCTTCCGTCTCAGTCTTCTTACTTGTTATCATTTATTTAATAAGTTATAATTTTCCTGCTTCAGTTTTTACTTGGGTTCTGTCTGGTACATGTTCCCTTTGTTTATAGTTCATGACTTAACCTTTCTGAAGTATTTAATTAACTTCAATCACAACCTCGTCAATGTTTAGATTAAACCTTTGTGACAACAGAACTTTATTTCTTGTTCAAGGTTGTATATATAGTAAAACTGTAAAAGCAACTGATAATGACTTGATCAGCAATTTAATTAAGTTTCAATGAATCATATGTTGAATTATTGTTGCTTATATTTTTCGTGTAATAGTGTAATACTTATATATTTTATCCATGAAGCTCTGGATGCTTGGTAGTTGTTGTGGTTCAAAATAGTTTTGTTTTCACACATAGTTTCTGACATATAATTTCTTTGATATCATAGATAAAAAGCATAAATGTTAAAAATGAAATGTTCAAATTTTCAGAAGAACTCAGGGCAAAGAGGAAGAAACAATTGAAGAAAGATAATGCTTCAAACATAAATTCACTGGTAGATGAGGTATGTATGGTTAACCACCATTTTGCAAAGTAGGTTGAGTTTGTTTCTTTTGTCTCATTGTTTCTTTTCCAAGCACTAGTCATGTGTTCTTATATTAAAGGTGAAAATATTTGCTCAAATTTGTTTCTAATCTTATTTTCTAGTCTTCAGTATTGCTGTTGTTATCATTGATATTAATATTCTAAGTATAACCTGTTCATCTCTATCGAGTCTCGATAGGCTAGCAGAATGAGGTTTCTCATTTATTATATGAGCTCAAACTGCATGAACAATGAGTTTCTGTCATCCAATTGGTTTCTAAGCTTTATGCGGCACACCTCTCGTATTTACATTTTTCTGAGCTAGAGAAGCGGTACTTATTTCAGGTTTTAGCTAGTGTAGACATTTGGTCAGATGATGATTCTGATATATGTTCATTTTGACAGAGAGTTAGAATTATGACATGATGGTTTTTTAAAAAAACCTTGGCATTTTTGCCTCTAAAGCTTGTGAAAGCCCGCTAAAAACACCGCTTTGTTCCTGCTTGCCCTGTCTGCAACACTTTTAAACATTTTTGGGCTGGCAATGCTCATTATTTATATTGGTGATTTAGTTTTGGTGCTTCTTGATTTACCTATGGTCTCCCTCAAGCTTTCTCTAGTTTTCTTTCAGGATGATTTCATATTTATTTCTTCCTCTGATGGTGTCACCTATTTCATGGCCAGGTATTATATGTCTACTTGTTTGGGCTTAATGCTTTGGTGACTGGACATTAGATTTATATAGTAATTGTCTTTTTTCCTTGAAATTAGATTACTCTTCTAGCGCGATGGAAAATTTTCCTTTCACAAGAGAAGGAAATACATCAAGGTTGGTACCATGTCTTTCTGTTTTCAGCGAAAGTTGACTCCATTGTCGATTCCATTAAACTTTAATTTGTTTACACGAAATTACAATGAAACTAAACAAAAATTACAACTCTCGAGAAAATAACACAGAAATTGTCTATCAACTCCTGCTTTGTGGGATTTTGCCTGTGCCGTGAGTGCTTTGGCTCGTTGACCACCGATTCAAAGATCGTGAGGGTGCTTAGGGATCTCTCCTTCGTTTATCGAAGTAAAGATTTGAAAACGGATATCTTATCGATGTAAGATGTCCGTCCTTCCAAAGATCAAGTCTGAGCTTAGATCTTTAGGAATCACCGAATGATGCTTGTCAAATGGTGAAAGTTCTCTCTCTTCTTCAAAATCACTGAAAGCTCAAGCCTCTTCTGCTCCAAAATGCTCTCTCTCCTTTACTTCGTGTTTAGGGAGGTATTTATAGGGGTCTCAGTGCACCACAATTGAAACGAGGGCGAAATAACTGACCGAGTGTTTTCTCTTTGGCCGCTGCAGTCTACACTGCCGCGGCTATTGGCGCGGCAGTATAGGCTGCCGCGGCCAAAGAGGCGGTTATCAGCACGTTCCATCGTGCTTGAAACCGCTCTCCCACGACTTTTAACCACTCTTTTCGTGGTTTAACTGCTTGTTCACGTCAGCACACATTCTATTTCTGAAACGCCGCCACGTAGACTTCAAAACATCATCGAATAACTGTCTTATAACTGCCACAGTATCCTTCTTTAACTGCCGCGGCACTGCAGGTTGCAGCGCCTAAGCCGCGGCACCCTAGGCTGCCGCGCCTTAGCCGCGGCACGTGTATATCGTTCTTCTATGTTGTTTTGAGTGGTGTTTGGATGTCTATAAGTATTTTTTAACGCCTACATGTTGTTCTCTCAAAAACCCCGACGAGGTTTCGGAGTATGGAAGTATAAGCAACATTGGTTCTTATGCAAATGTTTGCTTCTGTTATGCGCCAAGATGCTCTGGCATGACGTTCTGTTCGACCGTTTGCTATACGCATGCCTTGGGTAGCTTTGGCCTATCTATGTCTGGGTGCAATTTTTGGTCGCCTTCTCAAAATCACAAAGCATGGTGCTCACAACCTTGCAACAAAGTTACGGGAAGGAGCCAAGTTGAGGAGTGTTCGGGAAATAGTTTAACCTCATATACCCGTTGGGAGGTTCAGGGAGATGCAGTTTATACTCATATACTCATCGGAGTGTTCGGGTATGTGTTCCAAATACAGCAGGAGATGTATGTGTTCAAACGTCGAAGAATTATCGTGCATGCACAGTGTTTCTGCACGCCAGAGTGAACCATGGTGTGTTAGCTGCCGCGACAGCTTATACTGTCGCGCTTGAACGCGACAACATAGACTGTCGCGCTCGAGCACGACAGTGTCGAGTGCCGCGCAGCGCCTCGGCCAGTCAGATTATAAATCTGATGTTGGGCTTCTTCGGGTCATTTTTCCCCGCTCCTTTGAGTTCGAAACCTCTTCAAATACCCTATAAAAGGGTCCTTTGGCTTTTCCCCTCTCCACCTTTTCATATTTGGGCGATTTCTTGTTCGAACCAGATCTAGGGTTTTGAGTTTTTACAGATCTAGGGTTTTGAGATCTAGGGTTTTGAGTTCTTTTTGATTCTGCTTTTTCCTCAATCAAAACTCGTTTTCACTCAACTCCAGGTAAAAACCGTACCTATAGATCATATTTTAAGGTTCGATTTCGTTCTTTTGTTTGGGATTTTACGAAAAACCCTAATTTTTCCTTGTTTTCAGACTGTTTCTATCATGTCTCCAAAGAAAGCTCGTGTTTCAAAGGGAAAATCTGCAGCACCAATACCTGAGGAGGTTGAGACCATTGCCACGCCATTTGGAGGTAATTTCCCAACTCTTTATCTGTTTAAAAATACTGTTTTTGACCAGATCACCTCGCTTGTCTCCTTTGAGGGGCATCCGGGAAGAGTTGACGTTCTCCTCTGAGAGGACTGACGCTGAAAAATACCTATCTTGTTCAATCAAGATGTGTACCACGGCCAAAATTCGAGTTTTCATCGAATTAGAGGCTTTTCAACATTGAAGACCGTTGTTCAGTTACCGCGGCAGCTCGTGCTGTCGCGCCTGAGCGCGACAGTGTATGCTGCCGCGGTAACGCACGGCAGCAATCATTGCCGTGTCGGCTAAGTGTGGGGGGTTTTTCTATGTTTAGCCTTTCCATTCAACTGTTTTCCAACTTTTCTCTGCAGTCCCTTTTCCCTCTGTGGCCTTCTCTGATAGAGAAGACCCAGGCCAGAGTGGTGTTCTTCATGCCTCTTTCAACGGCGACTTCCTGGTTAGAGAGGCCCGCCAATTTAGTGAAGATCGTGATAATAATGTTCCGGAGTTGATTCGCGAGGGAGGCCGTCGCACTCTGCGTGCTCTGCTGACTGATTCACCCTTGACTTCAACTCGGGATTCTACCGAACCGTTGAAGAAACCTGATTATCTGTTTGGAGATTCGATAGAAGATCCAGACAATCTCTGCCATGGCTCTGAAATTTGGTTGAATGAGCACGAAGGTGCTTTTCTATTCCTTCCTCCATTCCCTCGACAGTATTCCCTTCTGCAATTAAGGAATTTGGCTGTTTCGAGGAAAATGACGTGGCACCTGACAGAAGATCATGAGCGCATTCATTGCGGATTCATTGGTAAAGATGTTAGTGCTCCTGGCTCCACCGGTAGGCATAATATCCGTGGTCTTCATCCGGGAATATTCGGACCAGATGGCGGGCCCCAGAATGAATTGATGATAAGGGCCAACACGGTAAAGAATAAGCTCGCTCGGGTTGGTCGAGAACTTCCCATTCCAAAATTTAGATGTTACGGATGGGTTCACTCTCTTCCCGACAAATGGTGGGCTAGGATGACCAACTATGTACTCCATCGTTGGGATCAGGAGTTAAGGAATTTGGGATTATATGCTCCAATCCGAGCCAGCATGCATGGTCTCTCAGTCAGTGTAGATCACTTCCTTGCCTTGTTCGAGTCTTATATTTCGGAGACCAATACATTTCTTACCAAATATGGGGAGTTAGGGCTTCCGCTCCACGAAATGATGAAGGTATCTGGACTGCCACTAGGAAATACTCCTTATCAAGAATATTTTCCCAACAATCGTCAACTTATGAAGATGAAGAAGGCTGGCTCTCCTGCTTATGACATCCTCTGGGAATTGACTTGTCATTATCAAACAGCGATAGCCAAGATTGAGGTGAAGAGTAAGAAGGCGGCTCGAGTCAGTTTGAAACAGTTCGCTGACTACTTGTTTCAGAATCTCGAGAGCCTGACCGGTGAAGCTGTCTGCGAATCTCCTATTCTGACTCCTTCTGAAGTTAATGTGCTGATTACCAAGATTAACGCCCAGTCCTATAGAACCGAGTCATCCGAAGGCGGTTTTCTTAGGGGCACGAAATTCAATACTTTCTTGTGGCAATCCACAAAGAAAATGAGGCCTGAAACTCTCCTTTCTGGCTACCTGGCTATATGGCTAAAGAGATGTGTAGTGCCGCATCAGTCTTCCGAGGCGCTTCCTCTTGAAGTCCTCTTTCCCGCCGTGCAACTAGTTGTCAGAGGCCGATTATCTCTTCTCTCCGTTATGATTGCTGATCTCCCCGCTATGATTGCTGATCTCCATAGCGGTTTGCGTAACCTAGCCAACACCTTTACCAAAGTGGGTGCTGAGCCTTTAACTAAGATTCCTTTGTCGAGCGTCGAATTGCCGTACACCTATTTAATGGCGTGGCTAGTTCTCTATCGAGCGAACATGATGTCAGCACCTGACGTGTCTGATCCCGAAATCCCCTTGCTGCAGCTCTTAGAAGGATGTAAGTGGTTATATCCTTCCCGACCGTGGACTGACCGGGTGAGGCAATTCAAGAATGCCAAGTGCTGGGAATTCTATAAGTGTTTCCCTCGGTTTTCTGGTGCCTATAATGACACGCTTGTTGACGAGGAAATGCCTGGGGCCGACAGGACTTCTCTCGACATGGGTAGCTTCCATTGGCTTATGAACATTCGACCAGGTTATAATGTTTTCCGATCGAAGAACCTTTGCAGGATCGAACCTTATTTTCCTTGCCGTTTTGCGCGACAATTCGGCTACGATCAACTGTACATCGGGAATCCCAATAAATGGTTGATAAACTGCGGAGGCCTTATTGATGGGGTACGTGCCTGGTTCTGGAATGTTGCTGGCTGTACCGGAGCTCAATTTAGTTTGCCCGTTGCTGAGCCTGAACTCCACATGACCTTTGTTTATTGCCGGTGGATTTTAGCCGCCAACACTCCTCTTGCGAAGAAGAAGCTTTCCGAACTGGAATCTGAGGCCGTGGTTCGGAGAATTGTATCTAAAAAAGGAAAGGAACCTGCTACATCTTCCCGCAAAGGAAAACATGTAGCTGATTCCGAAGAGAGTGACGACTTTGAAACATCCAGTGAAGAGGATGAGAGTAGAGGTGAAGCAGAGACTGATGTCCCTCTGTCTCCCGTGGCTCACAGGACTCGTCGAGCTTCTTCACCCAAATCACCCGGTGCTCCTTCTAAGGGTATTCGAATGATGGAGAAGAATATTCCCTTATCGTCTTCTAACAAGATGACAGTCAGATGGTCTGCGCTTGAAGAGGAAGAAGAAGAAGAAGAGGAAGATGCCACCCCGCTTGTTAGCAGAAAGAGATCCCGATCTTCTGCCTCTTCTGAAGCTCAACCTAGCCCTGTTCAAGGGTCTGAATTGCGTTCCAAGTTTCGCCATGAGAGCTCCGAAGTTCCTCGAGATTCTCGTGCTTCGAAAAGGGTTAAGAAGATGGCTCATCGACAACGTCAACTCCCCTCGTTGCCTGAAGAAGAGTTTACTCAGGATCTTCCGATTGATCAAGGGGGTAAGATCTCATTCTCATCTCCTTTTCATTATTTCATCTTTGAATATAGCATCTTATTTCTCTCTTTGCCATTATAGCT